CTTGATGAATGCTTCAGGGCTGGATCCCATTCAGATATAAACCCTCCTATTTGGCGACCTTCATGGAGGCTAAGAAATCACTGTTCTCCACAGGTAAGTCTGGCCATTCTGAAAATCAAGAGCTCATAAGAAATACTGCTTGTTTTCTTACTGTTTGGAACACAAGATGGAATTAGTAGTGACTATAAGAATTGCCAGATTGGGACCAAACAGGAGGCAGACAAAGTCCAGACTCCTTCTGCCAAAGACAGCAGGTGACTTGTGACATATCAGGAGGTCAGGCAGGCCTTGCCACCGCTCCAGCCCTTAGTCACAGATGCATTTCCCAACACAGCTAAGATGACGAGCAGGCTTAGATGTGGGGCTTTAGCTAATTCGGGGAATTTTAAAAGTCTGTATTTCTCTTTTAACTTGTTTTCCTTCTCCAAGCCGGTAACCTTAAAATTTGCTACAAGAAAATACGCTCCCACTCCATGTGCCTTTAATGATTTCAGACACTTATTTTTAAGAGAAAAATTTAAAGGGATTTGGATGAGTGTAAGGCTAAAGGTGAGAAGGAAAAAATATGTGAACACCTTTCCTTCCTCATCTGGAAAGGCTTCTGGTAGGTTTTTTCAGTTCAGTATTACATTGAAAACTGACAGTGTTGCTCCCTCCGTAATAATCAAAGCAGATCTGCACTGTCGTTTGTAGTAACTCAGTCTCCACTGGTAACATCAGGGAAGTAAGAAATCCACATACCAGGACAAATCAGGTGATGTGAGTGGAAAAGAGTACATTACTCGCTCCATCCATTCATTCAACTAATGGATCCTGCTCATTGACCACGATTCAGACATTTGCCCAAATTCTGGGGATATGGCCCAAAGAAAGTCCCTAACATTCTAAAATTGGGAGGGGCAGACAAAATATGAAACTACAAATTATTTATATAAGTAAATAATAACTTCAGAAGTGATCAATGGTATGAGAAAAAATAGATCACAGTTCATGGTGAAAGAGCTATGTGAAACGGAGTCACCTAGACAAGCGGTCAGGTAAGCCTTTCAGAGGAGGGGCCATTAGAAGAGAAACCTAAATGAAGTGATGGAATGAGTGCCTTACAGGTCTGAGGGGAGAGCAGTTTAGGCAGAGGGACCAGTGTGTGCACAGGCCTTGAGGCAGGGATGTTCAAGGAAAACCAAGAAGTCACTGTGGCAGGAATAAAAGGACTGAAGGGAACGTGGTGGAAGTGTTTGGAGTGATGGAAATGATCACATAAGTCCTTGTGGATCCCGGTACAAAGTGAAGATTTTAGCCCAAGTGTGATAGAACGTTAGCGAACCACTTTAGGTCACTAACAGGATGTGATTTATGTCTATAACAAGATCAGTGGCTTGTGTTGGAGGAAAGTTTCAACCTGGAAGGAGAAAAATCATTAACAGTAGCTTTGGCAAGAGATAATTTCATCTTAGACCTGACTGGTGGTGGAGGAGATGCTGACAAGCTGTTCTAAGATTCAACAGGCAATGTGCTGAAGTAGAGCAGAGATTTCCTGCTAGTTTAGATGGAAGGTGGGAAGTCAAAGGTATGAGGTTAACTGAAATATGAATATTAAATATACAATACAATGAATATTAAATATATAATACAAAATAAATTGGGATTTTGTGGGATACAAAGAGATCAGTGAGATCATAGGGAGTACGGGGGGAAGAAAAATGCAGACCATCAATTGTTGGTTTGAAACAAAGGTGATGGGATGAAGAGAAATTCAAAGGACCCAAGAGGTTGATTGCTGTTGAAGAATAAGTAAGAAATCCAGGAAGAAACTGAATCTGAATAAATACACAATGAGGCTCTCAAGGAGTATATGCCACTCCAGTTACAGCAGGTGTGCCTGCACTGGCAATGATAGAACCAGTCTCCAGAAAGCCAGTCTCCCCCTCCACTCCCTCCCTGATCGAGCGCTGATGTCATGATCAGACAATGGCAGTAGTTATGTTTGAGCATCTGAGGTTCTGATTCCAAAGAGGGACACGAAAGAGCCAACTCAGATTCAGATATGTAAGGTGAGGGAAGGTGGGTGTTGCAAAGCAGCCAGCACAGATGGTACATGGACTTCAAAGGATGTTTATCAAATATGTTATCCCGTTTAACCAGACACCACCGACCGCGGGAGGCACCTGCTGAAACTCCTCCATCTCTGAAGGAGGTAACAACTTATTGAAACCTCTCTTTTCAAAACCAGTTTTCTTCGGGGTGCTGATTCATTTTTGTCTATTCTCGAATTGTACACGATTCATTTCTCTTTTTCACATGTGAAAAAATCACTCTTCTCTTAATAGAGAACATGAAGATGAAGCTATTTCCCCGGCGCAATGGCACCGAGGCCACCGAGTTAGTTCTGCTGGGACTGACCACTCACCGAGACCTGCAGCCCGTCCTCTTTGTGGTCTTCCTCCTGATTTACCTCGTCACCCTGGCCGGGAACCGTGGGATGACTTTATTAACCAGATTCACTCCCCAGCTGCAAACCCCCATGTACTTCTTCCTCACCCACTTAGCGTGCGTAGATATGTTTTATTCTACGAATGTCTCTCCTCAGATGCTTGCGCACTTCTTATCTGAGAAGAAGACCGTTTCCTACGCGGGCTGTCTGGCCCAATGTTTTGTTTTTGTGACGCTGCTCCTTACTGAGTATTACATGCTTGGTGCCATGGCCTACGACAGGTACATGGCCATCTGCAGCCCCCTGCGTTACAACAGCAGGATGTCCAGGCCACGCTGCATCTGCCTGGTCACCCTCCCCTACCTACCATGGTGGCCACAATGCAGGCGATACTGACCTCTCACTTGTCCTTCTGTGGATCCAACGTCATCAACCATTTCTACTGTGCAGACCCAGCCCTCTTAATGTTGACGTGTTCTGACACTTACATAAAGCAAACTGCCCTGTTTGTGTCTGCCGGGATTAACCTCACAAGTTCCCTCCTTATAATCCTCATCTCCTATGTTTTCATTTTTATCACCATCACGAGGATCCGTTCCACTGAAGGGCAGCGCAAAGCCTTCTCCACCTGTGGCTCCCACCTGACAGCTGTCACTATGTTCTATGGGTCCCTGTTCTGCATGTATCTGAGACCAGCAAACGAGCAATCTGTTGAACAAGGGAAAATTGTCTCAGTGTTTTGTATTTTTGTGAGTCCCATGCTGAATCCATTTATCTACAGCCTGAGAAACAAGGATGTGAAACAGGCTTTGAGAAGGGTATTTATGAGAAACCTTGGTAGGATGGGGAAAAGCCCTATTAAAACAATTTCCCAATAAAAAAAAAAAGAATCTCAAAAACAATCCAAAAGTATGCTTTGTTGGTTCTGCCAACATTGGGATGCAACTCTTTGGAACAGCAATCATAGTTTAGATGCACGCAGAGCTTGGGATCGAGTGAGAGCCTATGGAAACAGAATGGCAAAGTTGTGTGGAAATGATGGTGGGCAAGAAACACAACAGCAGAAGTCAGCTGTTTACGATTCAGCTGGTTCACGGTTTTAGCGTCACTCAAGAACTGATTTCCACTTGATAAGTTAGCAGAGAAGTTCTCCCTTTCACTCCCCTAGGTCACCAACATGGAGCATCCCTGAGCTGCTCTCACCAGCAAAGTGATGCGCATCGTAGTACATTTCCTCAATAAGAAACTGATTTTCTTCCCTGGTACATCTTATGTATATTCCTTAATGAAATGTGATTATCTTCTGAGAAAAATCTCATTTCTCTAATTTTCAATGTTTGCTCTGAATGAACCTTCGATGAATTTTTATGTCTACTTTGCTTGAATGGAAACCCATATATGTTTATTCTTTCAGCCAAAAACCTGATATTTTACATTTTAATAACCCAATGAGTCATTTCATTTCCTTTAAACAAAACAGACACCCTTATTAATAGGAGATATCCATTCCTGATTTAGAATTTTCATTTCTTTAATAAGATATTTATATCATCTTGTCCCTACAATATTAACAATTGTACACATCACTTTTTCACACATCACTTTCCAGTTCATTTCTAGCCACAAACAATTTTAAAATAACAGCTAGTTTAATATGCATGAAAATTTGGTTTTTGTGTTTTGCAACTAAGTTGTAGCATAAGCATATTTCACACTGCTTGATATTCTTTGGAACTGATCTTTATTTAAAAGCATAATATAACAACACTGATATGACATATATAGTTCACCACCTCATTTTAATAATTAAGGGGTTTTTATTTTTCCCTCTTTAGGAAAATCTTTACATCTGTAAGTTATTACTTGTGATCAGTTGTTATATTAAGATAGATTTCCACAGTTTTATTCATTGTCTTTATATTTCTTTCACTTATTTCATAAGAAAGCAACACCAGCCAATGAAAACTCTAGTTACCCCACATCCTTAATAGTCTCGGGAGTCTCCTTTGATTGTGTGCATGTGTGAATATTGCAGATATAAATGCAATGCAGAAAGCATTCATGCATCAGATACAATTTGTTGGAACTCAACTTTTGTTTATTTCACTTTTTCTCAATTTTATAGTGTGCTAGCTACAATGATAGTGATGTTTAATCTCAAGAAGAAAAGAGTCTTTATTCAGAGGAACTTTCTCTTGAGAAGGAAACTTCTGAATGAAAGAAAAATTGGGGTTCCAGATTAAAACATTGTAGGTAGAGAAATTGACAGTCAGTGGCCCTCATCACTCACTCCTAACAGACACATAAGGATAGATTTGATGACCTCTGAAGAGCTCAGCCTATCCAGAAGTACAGTATTTTTAAAGAAAAATAATAGAAGCTTGACTTAGAAGGACCCTGAGTGACCATCCAGTTCAACAATTTTATAGAACAAGTTTGAGCCTCTGTTTTTTTTTCTATTTTCATATTCCAATTCTAACATTAATAAATAAAGATCCTTTAATTTTATATCTTGGGATATAGATCGTTTGTTTTTTTTTAAATTTCTTTTTATTCCCTTTTTTTAGTGGGGGAGGTAAGTAGGTTATTTATTCACTTTATTTAATGGAGGTACTGGAGATTGAACCCGGACCTCGTGCCTGCTAAGCACACACTCGACCACTGAGCTGTACCCTCTCCCCCTTGATGTGTTTGGAAATATGGACTTTTTGTTTTCTTGCTTATAAAGCAATAATTGTTTATCATGGAAAATGGGTGCATAAGATAAAAAGAATGAGTTTTAATTTTTGCTTAACTCTAGTATTTTACAAAATTATCATAATGTATATATTGAAGTACCCTTCTTTTTTTCATAAAAATGCTATATAAAATGAATTTTCCCTTTTTAAATTGGGAACTTCTTCGTTTTAATGTCTGTATACATTCTAGTGCAAAATATGTCACATAATATTTAAACTCTCCTCTATGATCACAGCCAGCACAACCTTCCAGGGGTTCTAGTTACATACAGCAGGACCCAGTTCTATTTGCATATGTCTGTGCCTAACTGTGTATTAAATGTAGGCAGGCCTCACTTTGAACATGCTGTGGTCACAGAGATCCAAGCAAAGCAAAGACACATTTCCAGGTTACAACAGTTTCAGTTACAAGAGATCGTGCAAAGTGAGGTCTGCCTGTATTAATATATCTATGATTTCTTTTATCTTAACTATAAAACTAACATTATGATGAAAATCTTCACCCCAAGTTTCTTACTATTCCTTCAGCACATGCTGAAAAGTAGACTGAGTAAAAGTGTCCAATTCTAAGACTCCTAAAAACATAATGTT